TTTAATTGAATTTGGAGGTGGGCAGTTGTGAATTGCTGAAACCTTCGCTGGATCCGGTGAAATGCCATCACCTGAGAAGACAAAACCAAAAAATGTGAGCTGCGATTGACTGAACTCACATTTGTCTTTGTTGAAGGTTAATCCAATGAGTGAAAACCGCTCAAAAATTTCATGAAGAGCTTTGTCATGCTCAGCTTGGGTTATGCCAAAGATAATTATGTCATCACTAATGTTGATGGCATTCGGAATGTCACGGATTTGTTCGCTAATTACATGTTGGAAGATTTCACTTGCCGAATTGGTGCCAAAATTCAACTTCTTATAGCGGTAGAGTCCTTTGTGCGTTACAAATGTGGTTATGTGTCGACTTTCCTCAGCGAGAGGTAACTGGTGGTATCCCGAGCGAAGATCAAGCTTTGTAAACATGGTGGCGCCGTTTAATTTGTGAATTAAATCATCCACAGTTGGGGTCGGATGTCTTTCGCGTTGAATTGCCTGATTAGCCATGCGCATATCAATGCATAGCCTGATCTCACCATCTTTCTTTGGGATAATAACTAATGGACTGACCCAAGGAGTGGCATCTGATACTTTTTCAATAATTCCATCACTTTCTAACGTGTCGAGCGCATCTGAGACATTTTGCCGCATGTGGAAAGGAATACGACGGGGGGTTTGTGCTACTGGAGGGACAGTATCATCAATGTGCAATTTAACTTCAAAATTTTGATTGAGTGCCAATTCCGTTGAACAGATGGGCATACTCTTTCATCAGTTGTTCATGGGTGGCATGTTCCGGTTTCACATTGTTAACATTCAGCATGATTAGACCCAAAGCAGATGCCGTTTGATAGCTTAGCAAACAACCAAAATTTCCTTTGATAACATGAACTTGCGTGGTTGTTGCACCAGTCAAACATTCTAGAGTTGCACGAAATTGTCCCATAACAGGTAGCTGGTTTGTAGCTCCATATGCAAAAATACGTGGTTTGGAACGTTGAAGGGCTATGGGTCTCTGTTTTTGCAAGGTGTTGAAAGCAAGTTCATCGATGATGTCGATGGAAGCACCAGTGTCGATAACCATGTTGATAGGGGTGGTGTTGACTGAGATTTGAACCTGTGGAGTTGTTTTGTCTCTACCTGTCGGTTTCAGAGTAAAAATAAATTCATCCTCGCTACTGCTTTCACTGCTGGAGGGTTTGCCATAAATCTTGTGAACTTTGTTTTTGTGGTATTTTTTTGAAGGCCTTCGATTCTCTTGTTGACCGACGCGAGCCTTGCGAGCACTACGACAGACTTTCGCAAAATGGTTTGATTTTCCACAGTTCAGACAAGATTTTCCTTTCGCGGGACAAATATTGTTGTTATGGGGCCAAGGCCCCCCACAATTCCGACACTCTGATGAGGTGTAAAAGTCTTGGCGGTGAAACGATGTATGTTGTTTATCACGATAGTTGTTATGTTTCGTTGTAGGATGGACAGCTTCAACTACTTCGTCATGTGTGTTGAGTCAAGTGCGTTTTCAATGCCGGTTGCCTGCGATTCACTGAGTTCAAAAGCTCTGCCTTTTGCGAGAATCTTGGCTAGCGTAACTTCCGAGTCAAGCAGGGCGTAGCGTCGTAGACGTTTCGATAAACAGTTTTGAATTATGGCCGATTTTACTTCTTTGTCGATATTTTCGAAGTCACAGGTTGCCGCCAGCTTCCTAAGACGAGTTGAAAACTGATCGATTGTTTCATGTGGTTGTTGTTTGGCTTCACGAAACTTAAAAATTTCAAAATCGACATGTTTTTTAGGTGAAAAATACGTATCGAGGGCAGCGATAGCGGAATCATAGTCGTCGTCTTCGCCGATATCAACAAGGGTATCAAAAATATCCTGAGTCTCTTGGCCAGCTTGGTACAACAAGAGAGCCCGCTTTTGTTTCTTTTCAGTCACATTCAGAGCAACAAGATATGTTTCAAATCGTCGTTTCCACTTTTTCCAGCGCTGACTGAGAGAGTTTGGATCGGACATAGGATCAAATGGCGCCATTGGAGCTACATTGATTCGGCCAGTCGCCATGACTGTATTCGTAAACTAGAGATTTCAAAATCGTTTGTATTGATAAACGATAGCTGTTTTTTGTTTGTTTGTTTACCTCGTCGCCAATGTAATGTTCGTGGTTTTGTATCAATATCAAGCACTTTTAAGTATAACAATAGATATCAAACAACTTGTACAAACAGCATAGTACGTATCCAATTACTTCCCGGTTCCCTAGCCTCGTGCTTCTAAAAATACTTAACTAACTTTCTAGTCACGTGTGTGCTAGTGTCAATAATGTCAACATTGCAACCCCCCCCCCCCCCCCCCTCTGGAAATCCTGGAAAACCCTGGATTTTTATTTTAGTCCTGAGAAACCCTTGAAAACCCTGGAATTTCAAATTTATCCCTGGAAAACTGAGCTGTGTATAGGATCATACCTAAACTATTTAAGACTATCTTAAAAATAAAGATTGAACAAAAGGTTCTTGCATTATATATAGTCAAACTATGAATATATTTCGTTCAAACTGGTACAAACCCAAAAGTATCTGTGCAAGATGAAGTACTAGCCGTCGCAAACGTTTCTTATCCGTTAAACACTTATAGATTTATATTTCAAATGCCCCTGGAAAACCCGTGGAAAAAGGATGAAAAAAGTCCTGGAAAACCCTGGATTTTTTAAATTATGAAGGTGTACGAACCCTGTATTGATATCGAAAAAATAATATCGACTATATCGATTTATGCAAATGAGAAAACGTAATTTAGTCAACTTGCATGTATACACATCACAAACAGTGAAAAAATGAAGTGCATGAAACCAGTCATGGTACGTCTCAAAGATTTATTAACAACGGTTTATCCGTTTGTGGAAGTTTAAAGATATATTCACAAGTCTAATGGTTTCACAGTACGATTGTTTAAATTAATGTATATAATGTTTATACATTTTTGAGCCGAAAATGGTAACAATTTCCGCACGTAATACAAACATATACAAAATTTGCAAACTTTGCAAGACTATATTTTCCAAACTATACAACATTTCGCTACCAAATTTTGCAATTTTACTAATTTCATTATGTTCTTTTTAGCTGTGGTGTTTGATTCCCTTCTCTTTACTTAGATCAAAATTTAGTCGAACATGCAAGTTGTCCATTGTAAACTCGCACGTTTGTTGATGAGTATTTTTATAATAAACTAAATCAATGAATCAATCAAGCTGCGGGTTTGATAGGGATGGGATACAACTGAAAAACACAATCATGTATTTTTATTATTGGCAGTACCTGTACTGGCACATACCGTTTGAGATTATTTATAGCAAATCCAGCGGACTATCCCAACTCCTATACTTACTCCTATGTATTTGTAGTCAACCCGTCATTAAACAGTCATCACGATGGTGAATCTGGTATGGGTCGTGGTTTTGGTCGTGGTTTTCGTGGACGTGGTGGAATAAGACCTGGTATGGGTCGGGCTGAGTTTGCACCTCCTGATATGGCAATGGCTGCACCTTGGATGGGTGAGTATACTACTCAACTATTGTATCTACAGCTGAACCTCTAGTAAGCGTAGTAACCTATGCTTTAAATAACCGATGGTGTACCAGCGCGCTGTCCCCTTGACCAGTTAAATCGTCTGGTGTTAAGTGTAATAATGAGTAAAATAACCAAGTAGGCGCAATGTGGCCTGAATGCGTTAGCTAACAGGGGTCGAAATTTACATTTGTTTCTCATACATATGCAACCTGAACAATTATAGATTTTGAACTTCAATATTCCGTCTGAACATCCACTATTCCTGTATCTATCTGAGATCCTGTTCACAGGCTAGTATTACTGACGTTTGTGACGTAAGCTACAAAATATCAACAGTCTACAGTCCGAAATGAAGAAAAAATCAACAAAGTTTTAACGGCAAAATTATCTGCAATAATGTTCTGGTACAATAAATTGATACCAACCACATTTTTTTACCCTTTCATGGAATACCAAAGTTCAATGGAATACCGTAAACTTCGACCCGTGACTAAGTTAGCTATGATTTGCTGGATAGCAAAGCTAAGATAGAACTATGTTTTACTGGATAGTTTTGTTGGTTCTTTCTATATAACCTTTCTTCATACAGATCCAGTAAGCCAATCCCTTATTGAGCCAGTATTAACAGGACTATCAGGTCTGTTCTCTCCAGAGCTCCAACTAACAACGGTCATGTCTTATTGTCCAGTGTTTCTACATGAGGAAACTTAAAGTATACTACCCGTTTTAAACTGTTCCTACGTACTATACTAGGTCCAGTGGCACTACAGGAAGAAACTGAAATACCGTAGAAAACCAGCCGGGCTATTTTGTAATAAATTTGGAGGTTTATTGCAAGCTCCATGCAGTGAGCAAGAACTTCAGTCATTCGGTCTGTGGGAAAAGTGATGCCAAGATGGCGGCCATTGACGTGCAATACCTGCGAAGGTCGTAAACACCTTTTATACCATTTTCCCACCTAATTCCTTTTCTAACGGCCTGTATTACTAACCCAGTTATCAGTTCATAAAACCATCGTGTTCTTCTCTAAATCGATGTCAAAATACAAAATTTCGGCACACTCCTTCTCAAGATGGCTTCTCGAGTCGAGTTCTCACTCCAGGGGTGATTAAAAAAGTGATTAAAGTTAACTATAGTTAGTGGAAACGTCATCCAATAAGAAGCGCGTATTTGAGAGTTAATCACTATTTAACTACAAAATAGTGATTAAAAAAGTGATTAAGAGTTTTATACAACCGGCCCCAGATATATATGGAGCTCGCTGGTGTAGTGCAAGCTCCTTATTACAGACTGCTTTTAACTTGGTTTATTCTGGCTTTCTACTGTAACACATTCTATTCTTCCAGGTCCAGGACCTCCAATGTTACGTGCACCTCCACCTGGTATGCCTGGAATGTTACCACCACCTGGTGATAAACTACCACCTGGTATGGCAGTACCTGGTGTTATGGTACGTATGAATCTGAATACTAAAGCCCGTACCCAGGGATGGATTCAGCCCGATCGGGTGCGGGGGGGGGGGGGTGGGGGGGCTCGTCTCATTGAGCTCCGCACATTATTCTAAACAAAGTGAAATGTTTTAAGGTAATTCCGAAGTTTTGCATTGCGCACTTTTACTGCGCACATCTTATAACTTATAATTTCATCCATTATACGTACCGTTTAAAACAAAATATCATTTTATGACAATTTTATGTTACTTCAAAACATCTTTGGTTACATTCGTGCAAAGAATTACGTTAAAATCAATGTTTTCAAAAAAGGCATACAAAAGTGTAGCTAGGGTTCCCTGTGTCTGTAGTATATTTATTTACTTGTATTTCACGTTTTAATGCCACAATTCCCTAGAAAGATCGGTGACCCCCGTTTTTTAACTGATAATTTATTTCTTTAATGCATTTTACATTTCATATCCGAAATTAAAAGAAAAATAATTTCTGGATCTTGAAAAAAAACCTTTATCAATGCATGTTCTCAAAGAAAGATATGTAAAGAAATGTGGAAAAGACATTTGTGGATCAGAATTGTACACGTTAGTAGTTTCATTTTGCTCAAAACACAATATTTTTTCAAAAATAATTACAAGATAGGTTTACTAAAGCAAAATCCGCGCTAAAAACGTCAATAAATATCGGGCTGTTGTGATTTTGCTGTTACTCGTAATGAGCGTCAAGATGGCGCCATATTGGGGTAAAGGTGGTATATTGTGATTGTCATATCTTCTTAACGAGTTCGGTGACCCCGACTTTTTTGTGTGATTTTACTTTAAGTATATCATAAACTCCATGCCTTGGAAGTTTCAGCACATTCCCATTTCGGGAACAATTACTGCGGAATTACCTTAACTGCAATAAAGAAGACCCCCTCACTCATGTCACAATATGGACAATATGTTATCATAAGGCACTTTAGTGTCCAACATAAAATTCATTTATCAGATTGTGTTTGCGTTTTATTATTTTATATATAGCACATATATAGTTCTTTGCTTGGTAACCAAGCCTTAAAGTGATCCCAAAAAAATTTCTGCAGACGGCTAAGCACGCACGCTGAAATTTAATCATGCTAATTCAAACTGTTAGGAAAAGCTTTACCATTTACAACTAGTTATATTAGTCAAGCCCATCAGGTTTTTGGTTTACTGTCTTTGCATTAGTCAATTATGTCTCAATGTATTGTTTCTATTTGACAGGGTGGTCCTCCTCCAATGGGTATGATGATGCCTTTTCCTGGTGATCCAGGTAACAACAATTTGATATTATATTGTAAAATATAGACACACAGGGCGCTTTCCATTTACACGGCCAGACGGGTCAGAACGGTCAAATTGTTGAATGAAACACAAGACATTTGGGCTTTGGACCTATCTGACCGGAAAATTTAGATAACATTAGAATGAGGTCCATTTTCGCTAGATATTTGAGAAACACAGACAAGATGTTTCCATTGATACACAGTAAAGAATTCGGGTCTGATCGGTCAGACCATTAAATGGAATGCGCCCATAGTGATTGATCTTAATGACCGATTGTGCCACATTCGGGAATTCCCGATTACTCATCCAACAATCGACTGTCGCAAGTTGTTGACACAGAGCTGCATCAATGCTGTTTTCAACAACTTGCGACAGACCTTACGAACCGAGGAAAGCGCCTTATGAAGCTCCGTGTATCCACTATTTTGAACAAAACGGTCAAACAGGTTGCCATATTTCGGTTGTAGTGTTTCGTAAAATAGCAAGATTTTTATATGAAAAACTAGACTTTCCAAAGTCCTTTCCAGGCCCTTCTATGGCGCGCTTCACTTCCTCTGTGGAAAGGACTTTTGTCACTTGCAGCGCGCCAAATATCACCGGTGGAAAAATCCCCCGGTGACGTCATTGTTTACATTGAAGGCCGAAGCGGTTACATTATCGGTCATTATGGAAGGAGTCTAAAAATAATATTATATTCTCAGGCTTTTTGTTGAACAAATGTGTATTACTGAAGCAAACAGAGTAAACAATGTAATTACAATTTTGTAGAACACAAAAACCATGTGAAAATACACAAACAAACATTACATTGAGTATAAAGTACAGGGTGTAGAAATAAACTTTAATACTGCCACCGAAGATGCATCTGATGATTCTAAAATTTCCTCACTAGTTTCGGGTTTTAATAGTTTGGGTTTCTTGATCTCGATTACTGATTATTTAATACAAATTCGTTTGCTGAGAAAACAACGCGTATTTTTACTGGATTTTGAACTCTAGCGACGTCTTCTAGTTGATCACAATCGCCGCCTCTCTGCTTCTGGGTTACAGTTGTCTGATTCTTTTCAATTTATAGACTGATTAACTTCTACTACGTTAATTAAATCGCTGGCGAACTGACTATTCCTGTCCACATAATTACGGCACACATTGTTTAATAGACAAAACAACTGTGAAGCTTCAATACATTGAACAGCTTTCGGCGCTTACTTAACTTGGGTCAGTTATTTCGTTTCCACACTTGGTGCAAACTGTTTCATTCGACGACCAAGAAATATCAATTCTAGAGAATGTTTTTGTGTTTTTGTAGACCCATTGTCGGCGCGGTGAAGTAATTGTATGATGTGTACACACCCTTTTAATATGTCAAAATTATTCGCGCCAAAAATTTTAATGCGATTTAAATTTCTGCAAGCGACACAAGTCGACCACTTGCGACTTCGTCGCTCGGGTCGCGCGCTCCCTCTCCCGCGCCCTCCTTCCCCCCATGGTCGACTTGTGGCAAGTCTAATGAAAAACTTGCGAGTTAATTTTTCAGCAAAACAGCCGAAAAAATACGGCAAAGAAAGGTTCTTATGGGAAACAATTTTCAAAATTAATTGGTCTTTAAGTGCGACCGAAATATGACAACCTACTTGCATTCAAAATAGTACTTACACAAAGCTTCAATAAGGCGTCATCCTCGTTCACAGATTTCACTTAATATTGGAAAGAAATTTAATATATAAAGAATTTGATATTCATATCAACGATGAAGAACGTTGAACACTCGGTTGTTTATGTATTTTTCATTTCTTAAGCTCTAGATCTTGTATTTTCCTTGCCACAGTTTCTTCAAAAATCAAAACAGCTTTCAACTTGTTTGATTGCAATTTAATATTGAACTTGCAATTTTATATTGCAAATGGCAATGATTGAATGAGAAAGTGAAGCCGGAAGCATACATTTCGTGCGATTTTTCTCTCTACTCACATTTTCGATTTGTTTCCCAACAACAAGCTTGTTGAAACTTGTTTTGACAGGACAAAAATTGTTTCTTGTCTGGTTTGGCAGGTTTGGCGCAGGTCTGATAACAAGCTTGCTGCAGACTTGACGATATCAACTCGCGACGGTCTGCTGGAACAAGCTGTAACAACGTTGTGATTTCATCAGACTTGCTGCAAGTTGTTCTATCAGACCTGTTATCTCTTGTTAGTAACAGGTTTGTAGCGGGTTGTTTCAACAAGTCGCTACGGCTCTGTCCTCAACAGCTTGCGACAGACCTGTTCCCGCAAACCTGTTACCGCCTGACGAAACCAACAGACCTGTCGCGACTTGTTGACAACTTGTCGCAAGCCGGTAAAATCGACAACCTGCGACAGGCCTGTGAGATTTCTGGCTGTGTACCGATCCCGGTTGTCTACTGAAAAGGCAAAAATCGGCCCGATACCGATATCTACTATTCGTCAATCACTAGACACATAAGGGTAGATACATTACTTTATGAAATCTAAAACTGGGGGGGGGGGGGGGGTGAATTTTGTTATTTTATTATATCTGTTATCGTTAAAATATTAACGAATTTCAGAAATTCCAGACTTCCAGGTCATGGATTTTGAAAAAAATGGCCATGAAAAGTCATGGAATTTTAAATGGGAGAAGGTGTACGAACCCTGTGTTTATTTTTTCTTCAATTTGCATGGACGGTTGAATGTATTATAATGTGATTTGTTGAACTGTACAAAACAATGAATGATACGCTTATTAATTTGAGCTTTGTATATACAAACATTGACATTGTAGAGTCTGTTATATGTTGTATTGTGACGGTGCGCACCTCGCATGGGACTTTGTGTCTCGTTCGTGCTGTAATTTGGCCGTTTGAGTCTTCTACAAATTGTGCTTATGTTGTGATATAGTCGAGGTTCTGTTTGTCAGTTGTTGTATTTGTTCTTGTGAGTGTTTGTCATAGAGTGTTTAGACTTTTAATAGTAGATTTTGTAGAATACTCAATAAAATCACGAACAATAAATAACTTACATACACTATAGTTGTTAATTATATTAACTATTTTAATTATATTAATTATATATACATTATTAATATTAACTATATTAATATATTAATTATATATACATTGTTAAATATATTAACATTGCATCGACTGTCCAACATCATCTTTAATATCTGTTACCTTTCATTGTGTAGGATCTGGCGTTTTCTGATATACTGTCTTAACTAGACGTATGAAGCTGATCAGTCAGTCTGGATATCTTATGTTGCCGTATGTAGTTGACAATTGACTGCCTGTACATCTCTTGATGACATTCTTTTTCATTTCTTATTTTATGACTTCAGTCTATTGTCCAGGGGCCGGTTGTATAAAACTCTTAACTACGTTTTAACCACTATTTTGTAGTTAAATAGTAGTTAGCTGTAAAATACGAGATTTTGATCGGTTGAGTTTCGCACTAACTGTATAGTTAACTCCTATTAGACTCGTCGCTGCGTGTGTAAATGGGAACATGAAACTTTTCGGTTTCGTGATGAATCCGGGATCTTTAAGCTGGAGTAATACGAGGATTTTTAATTTTTCAGAATAAATGTATTTTGAAAGTGATTTTAGCCAAGCCGTTTTGTAAACGTAGAACTATTTGGACAGGCCATATTCCTACTTTCTATTATTTGTAGGATAAAGTTATCCCATTCATGCCTACAAAAATGTGTTGTTCTCTTACGTTTTATCAAAACAAAAATCTTCATTATGGATAGAACTTTGTCATGATCTGAACTAAGAAAGTTTGAGATCTAGATCATTTCCCAAATCACTGACTATAAGATGGCCGCTCTTGTTTGCTGTCAAATAGGATGGGTTAATAAATTGCCCGTCGCCAGACCCCACGCTGCCAAATTCAGTGGTGACGTCACCATGATTGTTGTCTTATCGCGATCCAGTGTGATAATGTTGTCGTCCTCGTCAAGTGTGACGTCATATGGATGAAATAACTCATCATCGTCACCATGACAACTGATACTTCGCAGATACTTACAATCGTTGTCAAATATCTACAAATGACGAAACCAATGAAGTTATACCAGAAATTTCTTTTCTTAAAAGTTAGTCTATGGAGAAAATTTTTATTTCTTCGTACGCATAAGCAACAATCATGGAAATAATATCCCCGTAGACCTTTTTAAAACGCATCTTGTCTTACTATCTTGTAAAGCCATTTTATTTTTAGTTAATATAAACGTCCATGATCGCTAGAAATAGTAACCCCCCCCCCCCCCTCCCCCTACCACAATGTTGGTTCAAACCATGGTTATTGGACCACAAACCATTGTAAACGGGGAGGGGGGATTGGGAATTGTTTGAAAAGTTTACGAATTAATTTCCATGATTGAAGTATATAAAAAGAAACTTGCCAAGACAAAAAAAACTTTGACCGTAGACACGGGTAATTTTGTCATGTTTACGGCAAAAAAATTGGCAATGTTTCCTTACCAAGGAGCCTTGTTCCAAAGCTAGTCGTGCCAGTTTTTAGACAACGAAACATTTGTTCATGTGTATGAAACTCTCAGATGTGAAAGTCAACAATGTCAATAAACACACTGCAAAAGAAAGCACGTTTTGATGGGGGGAGGAGGGGGGCTGAAAACGAGGGCCGAAGGTCCAAGACTATAGGGGAAATTTTTAAATTTAGAGTCTATGAAATGCCATTCCTCCTGGACTTTGATCTTCATTCTTTGCAGTTTGTCATGGACAATGTAACCGCTTAAAATTCATCAATTGTCAGTATTTTAAAGGTATATTAGGCCAGGGCAAACGTCGAACTTTTCATGCGCCGAACCTAATATCAATGAGCCAAGTTCTTTGTTTCACTTCATTTGCATTAGGTTCGGCGCATGAAAAGTTCGACGTTTGACCCTGGCCATATTTAAATTATAAAGGTCTACATGATTTTGAAAAAAGAATGATTATTAGCAACATATAACAAATAGGTAATAGACATATAACAATCGTAGAATTCAGAGATTATTCTTAGAAAATAGATTATCCGTATAAATTACCTGAATTCGGTGACATTTCGAATCAGTGACCACTATGTTTCCATCTTTGCCAATAGCAATGCCATGAACATCCCAAAGTTCCCCAGGCTTCCTTGGATTACTTCTTACACTACGTGTTGACGTCGCTGGTGGAGAACCGTTGACCGGTGATAACGCAGGCCTACCAAGCACAACTTCAATTGGAGATCCTGGGACTGGAAGTCCATCAAGTGTGATCAATACACTGTGAGTACCAAGCCTCTCTGATTGAAAATCTGCCCCGTAACTACCTGGATTATCTGAGAAATGACAAATAAGAATCTGTAATTTCTTAAAGCCTGGTTCACACAAGCAATTTTGTCGGCGATTTTGTGTTTCTGACGGATGCAAATGAGTGAACTCGCACACAAAATAGTGAGGCGGATATGTGTAAAATTATTGATCAGTAGTTCCTGTTGAGGTTAAAAGCATCAAACTTTTACAATTGATGTAGTTTTATTTGCTTAATAGATATTTTGCTGCTAACTCCTGAAAACGGGTGATTAGTGATTTTCTTCTATTGAATTCTATTATAGCCAAAAAATGTGAAATTTTGTATTCAATTACAACAAATATGACTTGCATCATCAGAAAGCTTATAAAAAACTGCATATAAGACGTTTAGGCAGTTTTTTGATTTCTGAAATAGTTTTCGAATTATAAACTGTTAAAAATGCATTTTCAAACATCGAATAATTAATTAGGGACTTTTAGCGAGATAATGTGCCTAATTTACAGCAATAACCATTTGAAGAATAAAAAAACTGTTTAAAAGTCTTTTATGTAGTTTTTTACAAGCTTTCTGATGATGCAAGTTATATTTGTCGCGATTGAATTCAAAATTTCATATTTTTTGTTGTAGTAAAATTTAATAGCGAATAATGCTAATAGCATCGTAACTCTCTAAAAAACAGTTTCACGATGGCCCCACTTTTGCATGTTGTTCTACTATAAAAAGATGCTACTGTGCACAATTTGGTGCTTTTAACCCTCTTCGGAAACATCCATGCACATATCCGCCACACTAAAAGTACTGAGTCGCTTTTTGAATTAAACAATGGTGTAAGTGAATGTAATCCCCTAATATATTAGTTCTTGATTGAATGTAATATGTTAGCGGAAAAACATTCGTCGATCGTCTATGGACTATGGAAGAGAGTCGGTTGATGCCCAGTTACACGATACCGGATTCGCTTTTATCACCTCAACATTTGTTGTTCAGGAGTAATGTCTACTGCCCACAAAATTTCCTCCATTAACAATTTTCGTTTTATTTTGTCATATGTTCAAACAAGGATGAGAGTTGATGGGAATAGACCTTTCCCCTTTTAAGTGAAATTTTGATCTAGACAAGTCTAGACAAAACGTTAATCACAGCTTGAAAGAGCATCACAAAATTAGTAATATTCCGAAGTTTCGTTGCGAAATGTTGTAAAATGCAGATAATATAGCCTTGCGAAGTTTCAAATTGCCGTTTTTCAGTCATGATCATTTGGTATTACAAACGGGAAATTGATAATCAGTTTGATCATATGATTATCAATTTCCCGTTTGTAATACCAAATGACTGAAAAACGGCAAACTTCGCAAGGCTATATTATCTGCATTTTACAACATTTCGCAACAAAACTTCGGAATATTACTAATTTTGTGATGCTCTTTCAAGCTGTGATGAAATATTTGTCCAGGCTAGTCTAGATCAAAATTTCACTTAAAAGGGGAAAGGTCTATTGGCCGGCATTTTTACGGGGAACATTTCATGGTCTAGATTAACAAAATAAGGGTTTGATGAGTGTTCCAATTCAGTGTTTTAACTTAAGCCCCGTTTACACTACGCTCGATTTTTGGTACGGCACGGATAAAATTGATATCCGTACCACTTTTTTCGTTTCAAAAACCTAGCAAAATTAAGCCCCGTTTACACTACGCTCGATTTTTGGTACCGTACCACTTTTTTGGTTCTTGGACTACCTAAATAGGTAGTCCAAGAACCAAAAAAGTGGTACGGGTACTAATTTTATCCGTACCGTACCAAAAATTGAGCGTAGTATAAACGGGGCTTTAAAGTTAGAATACATGATAGTGTTGGGAAATCATTAAGACCAGCTAACCAAGGTCGCGTGACGCATGCCAACTCTCGTGTTAAGTTATTCCTGTAATCGTTAAATTCGATATCGTGGCAGCCGAATCCTGTGTCGTGTAACTGAGTGTCCTTGATTTCTATACAGTAGTTACCTCTTTCCTTCTTCACTGGACTGAGCAGTTCACCGCCTGGACCTCGTATATCCACACCTATCCCTTTCAAATCCGGCGGAGGTTCTGAAATTTCGAGTTTCAAATTTTCCAAATCGTCCAACTCACGCACACAACCGTTAATAATGACATTCCCATTCACTTCTAGATAGCCCAGAGATGTTCTCACCATGGCAGCGACGTCCAAAACACTTATCCCTACCTTTTAGAAACGCGATCTTCAGGGTAATTATTGGAGAGATGTTAGGTGTTTCGCTAAGCTTCTGAAAGTTTTACATTTCGTATCAGATCTGGTGCTTTTTAGCGCAGCTGCGGAAGGCTATCTGGTGTAGTTAAGTGTAAACGTAGCCTAAAATCCTTATCTCAATCCTTACCTCACTTAGATACTTCAAAGAATGATCAGCGTAAATCTTTCCATACTCAAAAGTCTCGAGACAATTTTGCAGTTGTTTTGTCTGCTTTTTCAGACCATGGAACTTTTTGCTTTGAATCCGGTCTATTTCATTGATCATCTCCTCTTCAGCAAGGCGAATATGTCGTACCATTTCAGTAGCTGTATTATGTACACTGTTTTTTAGTCCAGTTATACTTGCTGTGATAAGGTCAGTGGTTGCGTTCACATCTTCAAGGGCTTTCTCAGCTTTTGCTACTTTTGACTGAACTTTCATTGTAAGACTTTTGAGCGTATCCACAATTTCTTTTACAGTGCTTGATTGTTCCATGTACCTGTACTTGTGACTTTTGTGCAGCACAACGGTACACTCACGGCACACAATCTGTTTGCACTTCTCGCAGAAATACCTGGAACAAATAGAATCATGGAAATGATGATGAGTTGTATTAAATATACTGCATCATCAGAAAGTGGATGGAGAGATGCACGGCAAAACAAAATGAATATCGAATTGTTTCAATGAGATCAAAATCTCTCACAATATTTTTACTTATAACTCAGACTCAGACTCAGTACAAACAATTCAAAGAGTTAAATCTTATTATGAACAGCATCCACATTGAGTATCTAGGGACTCGCTAACAAGGAAAGCAACCTTTTATCGATCAACATTAATTAATCAAAATGCTAAAACACGTAGACAGTTTTATGTGGCAATGGTTTGATGTCCCACATTCGTGAGACATCAAAGGTAACTATTTATAGTGGTTACTTTCATCCTGCTCATCAGCACTACACTGATGAGGCCCAAAAGGCCGAAACAGTACCGTCTGTAGTTAGATATTGCTCTATGGCCTTTGTGTCATATTGAGCGCTCTACAGGATGAGCCATTGCTGCTTACGCATTGTGCGCATGCTCACTGCTTGCAGTTTGAGCACTCTGGTAATGGTTTGATGTCCCACATTCGTGAGACATCAAAGTAACTATTTATAGTGGTTACTTTCATCCTGCTCATCAGCAGGCCGAAACGATATATATATATATATATATATATATATATATATATATATATATATATATATATATATATATATATATATATATATATATATATATATATATATATATATATATATATATATAGACAAAGTACATACGCCCCGACGCCCGTATTCTAAAAGGAGTCACTCACACTCAATGAGTGGAGGTTCAATCTGAGCTTCTCTTGAGTGTTAATGCTGTTTTTGAATAGCTGGAGGGCTAGTGTCCTTGTTTTCTCGGTGCCTACTCACCCTCCAGCTATTCAAAAATTGACACTCAAGAGAAGCTGCGATTGAACCTCATGCACTCACTGAAGTGAGCTTTTAGAATACGGGTGATAGAGCTTTTAGAATACGGGTGATAGTGTTAAAATTTAGTTTAACTATTTATAAACATATTAAACACTTCCTTCGTGGACACCAGCGTTTGCTGAAGTTGTTAGTTTATGTTACTGAAAATTTTATTGAATGATATTGCAGATATTATACCTTAAGGTGGTATACGTCACGATTAGATGTAAGGTTATTATAGACATAAGCATAGGATTGCTTAGATTTTGAAAGGTAGGAAATATGCGAGTGATTGAAATGGAGCCGGGCCGGTATATTATTCACAAATTCAAGTACCTCAGTTCTTCGTTTGGATGTTCTTCACAGTTTTAATTTAAATTATATCGCTTATAAATTGGCCGTTTACTATACTTGTTTTGTCAGGAATGAACCTGCTGTTGCAAATGTTTGGATAGGATACATTGTTCATTGCCATTGGCTCTAAGCGAGATGTTGTATAACCAGCCGTTTACTGTCAGTGCAGCTATGAATTAAAGCAATATCAGATAACAGAATAAATACCGAATTATACGCTCCAGTATTCTCCACGTACAGCGGCGGGTACTTATGCATCAGTTGCCCGGACAACTCGCAAATTAAAGGTAAATCGAAAAAACAAAATTGTATAATCTATGAGACTATGGCGATCATAAATGAAAACAAAACAGGTTATTACTTGTTAAAAATTGTACGATTACTCACAAAGTTATATAATTATTTCCTAACAGTTCGGTTATTATGCATTATTATTTGAAGAAAACAAGGTTTTTTATACTATTTGTTCATATGAAGTATTATTGTGTTAACACGTATGGCGTTAGCAGATGGGAAAATACTACCTGTCGCCACAAATGATCTATTTAATTAACGATTTAGCCTAGAACTTCCTTAATTTAAATTCGAATATTTTAGACAAAAGAATTATGCCGCAATTTAAAATATTTAAGTGTACTTTGTCCGGAAAAACGGACAAACTACACTAAAATTAAACTAATGAGCATCAAAAGAATTAACAAGCGTTAGCATCATAGTAATTCAACATAAACATATTCGTCTGTATTTACAAGTAACCTTGGTAACGGTTTTGTTCGAATACAGCTCACCGCAGGGAGCACGGCAATTGAAAAAAGGACGCTTGTACTGCAGAGGAAAAGGATGAATGGCCTACTGTCCCTCTTAATTTTTGCCAACATGCATGCAGGGGCAGACGGGAAAGTAGATCGGCCTTTTCATTTTAAGGGAACGGGCCGGTATGAATGCTAGTAAAAAAGTGGGAATTAACAGTATAGCATTATCATACCATTTCTAATTCGAAATGTTATGTTCAACTCCAGTGCACATCATCTTTTTTGGATGGTTAACCCAATTACTTCAAATATACTTACTCATGTACGTCATGCATGGGCCATTTGCATACAGGTATTTGCAATTTTTGATGCGTTGCAAGTTGGACGCAATAGGGACATTTATACGAGCGAAAATAAGCTTATTTCAGCCGCGGCTTATTGCAAATTGACTGTTTGTACGAATCATTCGCGACTTATTTAAGCCGCGGCTTATTTAGGCCGCGGCTTATTTTCGCTCGTATAAGTGGTAATAATGCCTTGTGTAACACTTACTTGATATACATCGCAATTTCGTGAACAATCAACTACGAAATAGACTATAGGCATATCACATGACACGTGTATTTGTAAACTATAAGTGACATGAGTACGACCTCATTTCAAACCTTTGGCGGGAAAGTGATCCTTTACACGAACGAAATTGCATGAGATCCTCATGCATATAGTATAGGCTTAGCAATAAAGCGGGTGTTTATACAATATGTAAAGGCAGATGACAGATGTAAGATGTTTTTAAGAGCGGTTTTACTTTGTAAAAACCATAATAGTATGTTACTTGCGTAAATTATCTCCTAAATCAAACCGAACAACGGAAGCCTGATAAACAGAAATTAAATATTGTTTAAAGTTGATATCCAACTGCGGATACTTATAATAGACCGCGGTTTCATGCTGTCTCTAATTTATGCAGAGAATACGCAGGGGTGTCGGAGCGGCTCTAGAAGTGCATGTGTGTGTAGGGGGGAAACCCGGATCAAAGGTGGATGAGATGGGTGTTCTTAACACTTTCCCAAAAAACATAGTTGGAACTCTATATCGGCACAGCCATTCAACTTGGATAGTTATGCCTTTAAATATCTTCAATTTGGATGGTTATGCCGTTGACAGTTTTCGGCATAACCATTCAACTTAGATGTTTTTGCCGTTGAATATGTTCGGCATAAACATTCAGGTTTATGATATTGAGTGTCTTCAACTTGGATGGTTATGCCGTTAACTGTCTTGACATTGAGTGTCTTCAACTTGGATGGTTACGACGTTGACTGTTTTCGGCATAACCATACAACTTGGATGGTTATGCCGTTGAATGTCTTCGGCATAGCCATTCAACTTGGATGGTTATGCCTTTAAATACCTTCAACTTGGATGGTTACTACGTTGACTGCCTTCGGCATAACCATACAGCTTGGATGGTTATGCCGTTGAATGTCTTCGGCATAGCCATTCAACTTGGATGGTTATGCCTTTAAATATCTTCAACTTGGATGGTTATTACGTTGACTGTCTTCGGCATAACCATAAAACTTGGATGGTTATGCTGTTGAATGTCTTCGGCACAGCCATTCAACTTGGATAGTTATGCCTTTAAATATCTTCAATTTGGATGGCTATGCCTTTGAATATCTTCAATTTGGATGGTTATGCCGTTGACTGTTTTTGGCATAACCATAATTCAACTTGGATGGTCAATCTGGTGAATGTCTTCGGCATAACCATTCAATTCGGATGGTTATGACGTTGAATGTTTTTGGCATAACCATTCAACTTGGATGTTTATGCCGTTGAATATGTTCGGCATATAAACATTCAGCTTATAGATGTTTATTTTTATTTATTTATTTTTTTTTTTGTCGTTCTGTTCTGATACAAAGTACAAAAAATATGGCGGCCTATAGGCAATTCCAGCTTTTAGTTTATGCCTGCAGGGGATGATGGGAAGTAAGGTATCATATTGCTGATTATGCTGAAAAAATAAAAATGGTGGCCGTGTAAACACGGAGTGATAGCTTATACTTGTAAATATTGAAATATTTCGGTTGTTTCGGTAGTTTTTATTGAAATTTTTCAGCATAATTGGCAATAAGATACCTTACTTCCCATCATCCCCTGCACGCATAAACTAAAAGCTGGAACTGTCAATTGTTTGTTGATCTATGTTCATTGCTGAAGTGATTATGCTCGCGAGACAAGACTCCCGCGTGGATCTCGTCACGCACCACGCCTTTTTATTGGGCAATCAACTTGGCTTATTCTACGCGAACTTTAGCTTCTATACACCCTTTTCATAAATGGCTGCCGATTAAAAATTTTTTTATGTGCATATAAATGGCCCAACTAGCCTCGTTTCTGGGTAGAAATTCCTTTGAAATCTTAACATGAGTACGAGGCTAGTTGGGCCAATTTATATTCACATAAAAGATTCTTAATCGGCAGGCTAATTATGAAAAGGGTGTATGGCGGGTATCGACATGGTTTTAATTTAGTAAATGGTCTATAAGTACTATATCGGTGGGTAACAACTTTTATATATGCGTTTTTTAATGGCACACTATCACAAAAAATTGAATTATACAATGTGCTTAGTACAATAAGGGACCGTTCATTATTTATACCCGGGGTTGGTACCGAAGAGATATGGGTTGGGTAATCACGTTTTTGACTAGCTCATGGGTTGGGTTAAAAAATTTATGGCTGCCTATCTGCTATAAAATAAAACCAAAATTACCATGCATTGGAAAATATGAAGAAAAATGAGTACAATACACCAAAATAGACCATCAGTGATCGAGGAAGGACTCTATCATTGATCAGCAGGAACGTGATTGCCGTT